GTGCCCATGTTTCCACCGTTTCTCACCGCCCACGGCCTCAAGCTCTTTATTTCTATCTTCTTGAGTGTTGTCTCCTGTCTGTATTCAACAAAACCATCATTTAGGTAGAACAGGCAATAAAGACTTTCTCAGAAAAAGAACCATGCTGCCACCCTGACTTCTAGCCTCCAAAACTATGGGAAATAAATTTCTGTGAAAGAAAGAAAGAAGGAAAGGCCGGGGGGAGAGAGAGGAAGGAACATTCACCACATTTTGGAGATGAAAAAAACGTGAGCCTGTGACCCTGAATCACCATTTCGAGGACAATTGATCATGAGAAGCCAATTTTGAATTCACACGAGAGAAAAATAAACTATTTCATTATGCCCTGAAGATCTGGGGCAGCCAGGACCTCTTAACTCAGATAGTCAGCTCTTTAGAAATCAAATCCACTTCACTTTTCTGGAATATTCCATGGCCTCTCCTGTTAGGATCTGCAGATCCGATGGGCAACCATATCCTTTTATTCAATGAGGCAATATTAGCAATGGCCTCTGGCTTTGCTAGAATCTCCTCTTTATGACCCTAAAAAGCGATATTTTTTTAAAAAAAATTTATAACCCCTACCTTGTTCCAAGAAGGATTTAGAGTAGCTGACAAAAATGCATACACCAAGATCTAATAATTTAGAAAGAAATAAAAAAAAAGAGACAACCATAAGAAACAGAAACAGGAAATTTAAATAATCCCAGGGGTGACGTCAATGCATAAATAAATATGTTTCAGAAAAAGGTCTATGCTCATAGAACCCAAGCTTACCTATAAGATTTCTAGCGGCAGGCGAGATTGGGAAATATGCTGTATTCCAAGATTTATTTCATGCTTTTTTATCATTTATCAAGATTTATTTGCATGCATTTTATTAAGGAGTGGGGGAAAGCATGCAAGCTAGAAGTTGTTCAGGAAAAATACTACTTATCCTGACGTTGACACTGGAGAGGCCTCTCCTCCGAGTTCTCATAGAGGCCACAGTGAATGAAGAAATAACATCTTCTAACAGCCACCTTACAACAAACACTGCCCAGGATCGAAGATCATTATACTTCAAAACTGAAATATTAGGCCCTGGTCAAGTAGCTCTGTTGGTTAGAATCGTCCAGATACACCAAGGTGCAGGTTCGATCCCCGGTTAGGGCACGTCCAAGAATCAACCAATGATGCAGAAATAAGGGAAACTACAGATCGATGTTTCTCTCTCTCCCTCTTTGTCTCTAAAAATCAATAAAAAGAAAAATTTTACAAAAAGGAAGGGCATACTAAGTGTAAATAGACTTCCTTTCTTTCTTATTTTTCATTTACTTTCCTCAGAAATCTCCAATAACGACTGAAATATTTCCCTCAGGGATTAATCTACTGAGAACAAAATAAGGTAGAAATCTGGGTTGTAATTAGCTTCTCCATGCATCTAGGCAATTATAGGTAAATTGCCACTCACGACCAACTATGGGAACAGCCCCCAAACTTCTGAAGGTTTTCAGTACAAGGAAGCAGACCCAAGCACAACCGGTCATAGGAAAACATGAACGCCAGTTTCCTCCGGGCTTTAGAGTAAGAATGCTGTAGGAAAATACAGGGTGACTTAAATTTGATAGATGCAATGACTTTAGCTATAGGATCGTTGAGGAAGATTGCATGAAACTAGATAATTTTTCTCAGAGTAAACATAAAGAACTACTATAACTTTTTCAAAGCAGATTTGAATAACATGAAATTTAACATCACTATAAAATTTAATAATATAAAAATTCCAACATTTTCTGTTTTTAAGATAAAGACTTTGAGTTGGGCTCCAATTCCCGGGTATCGTATCAAAATATCTCCCCTTTCATACACCTCTTCTGTCCCTAGTTTTCACGTTTCCTCCTGATTTTAGGAATTAGGAGATGTGACACATGGTGAATTTCATGCCCACAAGGGGGACCCTTCGCACCATAGCAACAGAGTTGACGCAGCAGCAGGTTTGCTGCTAACACACCATTTGGTTAAATGCAGGATCGGCGGTAAAATGCTCGGAAGTTCTGTCCCCTTTGGGGCCTCACCGGTGAACCCCCCGGGGTGGAGGCAGATGCAGACCTGACCTGCAGCCTGGGGCAGCCGAATGAGGGCGGCCGAGGGGGGGAGGCGTCCGCAGTGTGTCCCCCGGGACAGCGGCGCACACTCCCCGCCAGGCCAGCAGGGGTCGCTGTCGCATTCGTCGATGCCGGTCTCACACTGGGCGCCCCTGTCTCCTGCAGGGTCCAAGTTCAGGGTTGCTGCTGAGTCCAAGCTCCTGGGCCCTCCAGCGGGTGCCCGAAAGGAGGTTGACCGACGCTGTGCGGGCTCCAGTTAACGAGACCCTGTGCGCCTGGAGGGCAACCTGGTCAGAGGAGGCTTCGTGCTCATAAATAGAGCAGTGGAACATCGACCAGGGTTCTCTATGCATGGGCTTCAGGATTACCTGGGTTTAACCAGACGTCTACACTAAAGCCCCCAGTTCCTTAAGCATTTCAATGGCTTGAATTTCCTGCAAGAAAAATATGAACTATTTCCCAAGGAAAGAGCTGAAAAGTCAGCAGCATCCTCATGGCCAACCCTGAATCCTTCTCTTAAAACTCAAAGTAAAGGTAACTGATAACATCTCAACACTTCAGTGAGACGGAATGAAAAATTATTTTGTATTTGAACAGATTTAGCTGGGTCATTTTATCAGGGACAAGAAGAGAAATAAAACGTGAAAGATTTAGTACTTTATAAAGAATTTAAATATTAAATTGAGTACAAAGTACCTACCAGAACTATTTTTTTACATACATGTGTACCTGAAAAAAATATATATGAAGAATATGTAATATATATTTATGTATAATATATACTTATATACATTATATTTATATGTTATACTACATACTGGGTGGAGCAAAAGTAGGTTTACAGTTGTGAGTATGCAAAACACAGAGTTCATTCTTGTCTTATTATTATCATTGTATTATTTTGCATATGAACAACTGTAAACCTACGTTTGCCCCACCCTGTATATATATATATATATACTTTAAAATATTCAATGGCTTCCTTTTCCATGCAGAATAAAATTCAAAATCGTTAACCTGAAACGCCTTTCTGATCTGGCCCCATTCCCATCTCTGTGTTCCTATCCTAGAATGTCTTCTATTCCAGGGCCTTGATAACACTGTTCCCTCTCCCAGAAAACTCTCTGCCAAGACTGTGATTGGCTGCTTTTAGCTTTCAAATTTTATCTTCTATTCCTTTCTCACAATGACTTTCCCTTGAGGACAGCTCTGAACAAGATCCTCTTGTTTACCCTCCTGTTACCCAATTCTTCCTTTTCATTGCTCTTATAATAATGTTTACCGTGTGTTTATTTTTATGTATAGTTGCCTCTCTCCGTAGACTAGAAGCTTCCCAAAAGCAGGGATTCTGTTTCTTTATCCCCCACTCCGGTCCTGAGCAAATGGGAGGAGATGACCTTCCATTAATGACGAATGCAATCCAAGTCGTATTAATCAACCACTTAGAATATAACCCTAGTTTAGCAAATAACCTAGAGAATTGACTACTAATAAGCAAATAATGAGAATATGATATTATTGCTAATTTTGGAGTCTTAATAAAAACCTGAATGGGGTCATATGTCCAATTATAACCGCAACATAAATTTGTTGCTCACCAGTGTAATGCATTCGTGACGTGTGACCCTTGGGGTCTTTCTCAAGCATCTGAAGAAGAAACGCGGAGTTGGAAACGGAAACTAGAAGCACATGTGAGATCAAGATCCCACAGTCCTTTACGGCAACCCTCCCGCCAAGAACCCTCAGTCTCTTAAAACTGGAATGTCTACTTTTTAAATACTTTTATTTCCTATTTGAGGATCTACAAATATTCACTGAATAATGGTTTCCACAAGTTTTTATAAGCTGGTGTTTCTTGTGCTACAGTGGACTTAGGGAAGAAAGCCCCAACTATTTTCAATTTCCTTCCCATTCTAAGTCCCAAGACTCCCACGTCGGCCGGGCTGGGAAGTCACCCGGGCCCTTCATAAATACTCCTTTGCTTTCTGGCTCCTGCATTACCGTATCCTACTGTGAGCGCTAGGAGGGCTGTGATTTATAGTCTTGCCAGCCCTGTCCCCACCACGGGGACCCTGTGGGGATTTTGCCTGCGCTCGTCTTTGGCCATGTGTATAAATAGACTCCTTCAGTCAAGGCTGCATTCAATAGTTTTAACAAGGTTTTCTGTAAAACCCTGAACGCGGAAACAATATGATGCTGATCCAAGTCCCCAGGGTTCTTTTTTTTAAAACAAATCCAATCTCATCTGGGGAACAGGAAAACTTTCAAGATAAGCATTTAAGGTGACTGACACTTCTCGTAATTAATGACTTCGGAGCCGAGGACCCGTCGCAGTCATCTCCGTGGAGTCGGCCATGGAGTCCCGTGGCCGTGGTCTCGGGATCCCGTGGCGTGATCCCCTCTCCTTCGATGTAGAGCAGCTCGTGGCACTAAATCTTCTCTTTATATGGAACCGTGGGAAAAGATGCAAAGACCTTCTGAATTTTCTGTGTGCGCAAAATCATCATCCACCCAGTGACTCGAGAAAGAGTGTCAGAAGCAAAACTGTCCAAATTCGGTGTCCCTTTCTTAATTCCCACATCATGTCAGCATCCTCGGTGACGCTCTTTTTTTAAAAAAATATCTTTATTGATCTCAGAGAGGAAAGGAGGGGGAGAAAGAGAGGTAGAAACATCAATGATGGGAGGGTCATTGATCGAGCCCACAACCCGGGCATGTGCCCTGAACCGAACCCCGATCGTCTGGATCCCAGGTCGATGCTCAACCCCTGAGCCACGCCCGGCCGGGCCTCGGTGACGCTCTTGGCTACCGGTTCCCTCAGCTGCAGGTCATCTTAGTTCTGGTAAAGAGGCTTCTGTTTGGTTAAAAGCAGTGCAGACCTTTCTCTAGATTCCTGCCTTTGGGTTTATTTCTCTCAATCGTCCACCGTCCACTGAAGCCCCAGGAAGCGGGTCAGGCTGTGCCCGTATGGGCAGGGCCCACGCGCAGCGCTGTGACCTGGCGTCGCCTGCCTGTCCCGCCAGCCCCGAGCGGTCCCTCGGGTTTGGACAGTCACTCAGCGTCACACAACCTTCCCCCGTGTCCCTGCTGCCTTCCTCCCTTCTGCCTTTCCCCGAAGTAAGTACCTGGCCGCTACGTGTTAGCCACCGGGTCTGGAACGGGCCAATCTCTTAATTTTGGCATCTAGTCAACAATAAGAAATTTTTATTTTCTATTTGCTGTAAGCAATTTGTTTCTATTCTAAGCAAAACAAAAATAAAAAATAAAAATAAATTTTTAAAAGGTATCTGGTCACTTACCAGGCCAGCTGTGACAAGTGTAACTGCCAGCGCTGTCCTCACAGGTAGTGTTATTGTGACCGGGCTGTGACCGGCATGGAGGCACCGAGGTCTCCCAGCAGGTCCCTGTGAAGCCACTACTTGTGCAGGTGCAGCCGTAGCTGGAGAGTAAAGTGAAATGATCCCACCAGCTCTTGGTCGCATTGAGATCAAATATCTTTATTCTGTCTCTTTCCAGGGCCGTCGGCCCGAGATCTGCGGCATGTTATTAATATTTACCTCAAAACCCTGGGGAATGATCTCTTTAAGCCCGAAAGTATTATGTTTCCATGTTTATATCTCATGGTCGTTTGAACTACAGCTTGAGTATTTTCGTTTTTTCCTGCAGAATTATTTGGAAACCGTGATGGCTCCCTTCAGTTCCCCCGTCCATAAATTGAAGATATTAGTACCTATGTCGTAGGGTTATTGTGAGAATTAAATGTGCGTTTAAGGAAGAGACACAGTATCTCACGCATGAGAAATGCTGAATAAATTACTACTACCTAGTACTAACTAACGTCGTTAATATTCGTGAAGGCAGTGGAGGATGACTTATATTACCGTGTCACTCTTCTATAGAGAGGGCCCATTAATAAGGTCCCTTATGAAAAATGAAACAGTAAATTATGCAAAAAGCAGGAAAAGCCCTCATTATATGAGCGGTGACTTATGTCCTCTTATGTTTGGATTGCAGGGATGTTTTAGTCGTGCAGTTTCTAATCTCGCGTTGATTGAGTAGGATTATCTGCCAGAGCCGAGCACAAATCCCTTGGGGGGCGTTGTTGACTTTGTCAAGAGGAGGCTTTTCATTTGGATGGGATTTCCTCAAGGACTTAGCGCTGAGAACGGGCGGGCTTGCACTTGGCTTAGACGAAATGAGGGTCTTGGGGAAAGGACATCTGCGGGCTTATAGAGTTAGACTCCTGTTCCCCATGGCTGTGCGACTGTCCCCAGACACGGGTATTGAGATCTCACTAAGGAAAGTGAAGTATTTGCAAACGTGATAGTGACTATCATTTGTTTATGTATCGCTTGTTAGAATCTTCTTCCTGATTTAAAAAGCTTACTAACCGTCGACTCTGTGTAAGTCATTGGAGAGAGAGTCCTGTGCTCGACCCTGGCCAGGGGACCTCAATTCCTGGAACTTGAGGCTCATTTGCATAGTCCTTCGATCTGCAAGAACCTGCCTTTGGTGTCTCGTCTGTGACTTTCCCATACACCTCAGAGCCAATACGTTAATTTTGTCGTTGTGGGAACGTGATGTCAGCTTGCATTTGTGGGCCTTGGGATGATCTTCTCCAAGTCTAGGTGATAATAGATATAAGGGTAATGTAGAAAAATTATTCATGGCACATTCAAGTAAGGAGATGAAAAGTGGCCCAGGTGTTGGCCTTGCTCTCATTGTGTTTCCTCGGGAATCAAGGCTTCGTGTGATTTCTGCCCTGGAGCTTTCTGGAGACAGTGAAGCAGGGGTAGGAGAGCCCCCTTCTCCTCTGAAGCCTGTGTGGCCGGGTACCTGCCTCCAGCAGTGCAGATTCTGGCCACTGGAGGATGACTTGGGCATAACAGAGTCAGAGGCAAGACCGGGATGTGATTGAAAGTCATGCTTAACAGTTTACAAAAGAAATGGACAACCCCAGCGCTCTTCTCAACGTCGTTATTTCATTGAATATATTTGCGGCCTTCGGTGCCTTCGGTTGCGTTCCTTCTGAGTCTGGTTCACTTGGAAATTCAGATTCGGGATCAACTCTACCTTGTTTATCAAATAAAGGAGAGTTGGAGTCTTGCCCTTCTGCAGAGACCTAACCGTGTGAGCTTGTGGGAGTTCCCTTCCTTCTCCGAGCTGTAGACCCCTCGGAATGGGAATGGGAATGACCATCTTGCCTTCCATGGAGATGTCGAAGGATCCAGCAAGGCCCTGGGAAGTGCTAACGCTGTTGAAAATGGTTATACGTTTGATAAGTCAATCCTTGTGGGTTAAGTATTAGAAAGCTTATTTAAAAAAAAATATTTTCTATGTATTCAACTACCATTACCCAAATTTATTATACGCATCATATTAAGGTGTAATTTGTTTGTTTTTGTTGCTGTTGTTTTTACTGAAAAGCCGGCGACAGAATCTACTTAAGGCCGAATCCCATGGCTGCTTCTCTCCATTCCCCCGCCTCAGGAGTAGTCGCCCAATTCCCAGAACACCTGAAAATTCGGGGTGTAATTAACTCCACAGCACTGCCCTTTCAGCACTGTTTATGTAAAATTCCCACGGGGTTTATTTTTCCTCACTTGATTTCTATGCGTGTTATTACATAAATACGACCTTAAATTTGCACGTAGAATAACCCCCAGCTCTGATTTCACACCTTCCCCGTCTACAACAGGTTTATTTCATGGGACTGAAAGGCTGGCATTTTCCTGTAATATTAGCATTTTTAAACTATTACAAGGGCCACTTGGTAAAGCCTCACTCTCGAGACAGATGACCAACGAAGGACGAGTGTTTCCAATGATGTAAAATTCCACTTAAAACGACAACAGTGACAGGCCACGGACCTCTAGGCTCTGTGGGTCTTTAGTAGGTTAGGAAGCTTGGTATCTAGGGATTAATTCCTCTCCAGCCCATGTTCCTAAGCAGTTGGACGGGACACGCAACCTCACCTCCACTTCTGTCGCATTAAAGAGAGAGAGAGAGTTGCCGGCCGGTGTGGCTCAGCNGTAAAATTCCACTTAAAACGACAACAGTGACAGGCCACGGACCTCTAGGCTCTGTGGGTCTTTAGTAGGTTAGGAAGCTTGGTATCTAGGGATTAATTCCTCTCCAGCCCATGTTCCTAAGCAGTTGGACGGGACACGCAACCTCACCTCCACTTCTGTCGCATTAAAGAGAGAGAGAGAGTCGCCGGCCGGTGTGGCTCAGCGGTTGAGCATCGACCCATGAACCAGGAGGTCACAGTTCGATTCCCGGTCAGGGCACAGGCCCGGGGTTTGGGCTCCATGCCCAGTAGGGGGCGAGCAGGAGGCAGCCGGTCAATGACTCTCCCTCTCCCTTCTTCTCGCTGAAATCAATTAAGACATATTAAAAAATAATAAAGAAAAAGAAAGATCGAATTCCATCCCCTGGGATTCAAGTGGCATCACACTTAGAGTAACCTCGGGGACAAACACAGGTATCTGTTCTGATCTCATCCGGGCACGCGGCCCTGTCCTGCGAGGATCTGGGGCGCGGTCATCCACTTGCTGGTCGCAGCGCCTGCCTTGGCGTTGGGGACGCAGAAGCAGGAGCAGCCGGCGACCGCATCCTGGGACACAGCCCCACGGGGGCGTCGCCATCCAGCTCCCAGAACCTTCCGGAACGGCCCAAGGGGCAGACGCACACAGGGCGGACAGGGTCCTGGTGGCAGAGCTAGGACCACAGGGACCGACGGCAGTTTTGCAGGTGGCCCCACCCTACCCGGGAGGACATTGGCACAGGAAGCTGCGTTCCCCGGGTGAGGGGGGTCACACAGGTGGCATGTCCCTGACAGGGGTTGGAGAAGCAAGGGTCTGTCCCATCGTCACATCGATGGCCGTGTCTGAGCAACGGCGGCTGTCTTCTGCAAAATTATGACACGTGGAATCTTCCCGGCACGACTCTGAGAGGTGCCTGGTGTCGTTTTTGTTGCGAAAGGAATCTGCATAAAAATATAGAAATGTGTTGATGATGCTTTCGAGTCGGTGGTTGGAGATACAGTTAAAGAGCTCCCTGCTCCTGGCGGCATCCCAGCCGAACTGGCCCGCGGGCCCGCAGCCGTCTGCGCCCTGGTGCTGGGCTTGGCCATGAATGATGGGCATTGTCACAATCACCTCCCACGGAGCCCTGCTGGCAGCCAGCACTGTCCCCCGGGGCCGGCCCGCACCTGGGAAGTTAGGGCGCTCCCAGCTTAGCGGGGGCTGTGCCCTGTGGGAGATCTCAGCCCATCGTTGTTTTTGCGTTAGATTCCCCCCCAGATGCTGGGTTCCTTATCACATCTTCAAATGCGTGACCAGCTTCTCAATACTCACGTCTTAGCTCCGGTGCCAGCTCCTGAGAAAAACGATGTCTAAACTTCTTTTCTAAATTCTTAGTTTTATTTTCTATGATATACACACACACACACATATACACACACACACATATATATCAAATCTATATTATAGTTGTTTTACTCTCTATAATATAGGGTGACCCCCCAAAAATGTATACACACTTAACAGCTGATAGCTCAATTGGTGTTTCTTTCTTTTCAGATTTAACCCGTTGGTATTAATAATTATTCAAAGTGTGTGTACATTTTTTGGGACACCCTGTATATACACAGACAGACAGACACACACACAAATGTGAAGCAGAATCGATATTTTCAGACCAATTTATATAGTCTGCCGAATTGCTTCCTTGCAGTAAAGTTTGCCATCTACTGGATATTAGAAGAAGTTCTAGGAGAGTGGGCGTCAGACTCTTTCTTTTAAAAGTGCAGCACAGCTCTTTTGAGGCAAATGCCATGAGTAATCCCAATAAACAAAACTGGAGTGTGGACCAGCTCGGGGTGAGAAAGGGAAGGAGCCCCTGCAGCCCAGTCGGTCACCTCCTGCCCTTTCCAGTCAATGGCTCTCTCTCATCATTGATGTTTCTCTGTTTCTTTCCCTCTCTCTGAAATCAATAAAGAGATATTAAAAATAAATAAATACATACATACATACATGCTTGGCAGGCTGTGGTAAGTGCAGAATAAATGCTTGCTCTTACTGTTTTAATATAAGATGCTTAGAGAGAGCTTTGAGTTCCTAAAAGAAACTTTACTGCATTCGCACAAAATATAGCAATAGCTATAATAGCCAAAAAAGTACACACTTTCACTGCAGGAATTTTATTCTGAGAAACAAAACACAAACCCAAGTAGCGACTAATTCAACACGCCAAAGGCAATTCCCCCCAGAAAGTACCCAGACTCGCTCAGGATTAAACGAAGATAGACGTGGATTAGGCTTAGAGAGAATCTGTTCTCTGGGGTTCGTTTTTCCCAGAGAAACCTTTAGTATCTCACTATGTAGTTTTAGTTCCACTTAAACTTCTGGCTCAGAGACATTTCTTAGGAAGTGAGAAGCTGCAACAGAAGGACTTAATTCGGCTGCCCAGGAAAAATATACCCTTTATTCAAGATTTGCCGTTCTCGGTTACACTCAGAAGTGTGAGGGATTGGGTGGCCCCTGACCCGCCGGGGAACCATCTAACAATTTCAATCATACTTTGGGTTTCCAACTGCAAATGTTTGGGACCTTCCTGGTTTCACATCAGATCCCCAATGAGCTGCTTTTAGAGTGAAATGTGAGCTATAAACGATGCTACAGGAGATAGAGTAGAAATGTCCAGATCTGAGGATTTCCACTTGTAAGAAGTGAGTGGCTCCTTGACTGTCCTTTGGCCTGGCTTTCACTGGGGGGAGAAATTCCATTCAAGGGCTGGGCCGGCAGGGAGAGGGGGGAGGAAGGTGGGCAGGATGCGCACATCTTTATTCAGGGTGTAGCCCAAACGGTCTGCACGTGGTAGGCAGCCAGTGGAGAGTTTGTTGAATAATGAATGAGTGAGCGAGGCAACCTGAAACCCCATTTAAGCCTGGCTGTGAAGTTCTCACTTCAGCCTCGTTGGATCCAATCAAGCAAATTAGAGCCAATCATCGGGCAAACGACTTCCTTTGCTGGGATCTGCACGGAGCAGTTAAGGTAAGCGGTCGGGCTCCGGAAGGCCCTTGGTTTCCTGGGCATTCCGGGGGGGCTCTAAGAAACGAGGCCCTCACTGTTGTATGTGTATATTATTCATCCTTGTATATACAACGCCAGCATCCAGCATAGAGCAGGTAATCAATAATTCGTTATTGAACTGAACCAAGCACACCGAATTCCCATCTCCCTAAGTGTAATTGATTGTGTGACTACACCTAAGGTTTCCATATGCTTTTCTCTTGGAAAATCACGAGGCCTCGCACTCTCTTCCCGTATCATTCACCTGTCGTCCGTTCGCACTGACCTTCCACTCATTGCGGGATCCTGAAGGACACTTACCTACCAAGTGGCAGCCTTCATTCTCTTCTCGATCATTTCTTACTACGCTAAAATGTAGTGAGTACATTCAGAACGATTTCGGTCAACTCCCTCTTATAATACCTATGAAATTATAAGTCAAACAGGAGCCAGGCCCAATTGGGAGGAGTGCCACAAAGGGTGATTACTCAGGCTCCCTTTGTTGGAGCAGAAAGATCAGCACCCGTCGGGGGTAATAATGGTGCGTACGAGGTCTCACTAGAACAACTTCGGGTGACCTATGAGAGAAGTAACAAGATCGCGAGGGGTCTTTACTGCTTCCCGCATTGGGGGGGGACACAATGAGAGAAATCTCTTTAAGGCTATTTGATGTCACGATGCAGACACAGCGTGAGGAAGGATGCTATCAATTATTTCCCCAAAGAAAGACGCCCAAGAGCCTATCAGCTAAAGCCAGGTCTTTATAGAGCAGTCAAGTGTTTAATCTTTACAAAATAAAAGCAATGTTTTTAAGGCTTCCATCAAATAAGCCAACTAACGTCTATAAGGATGCTAATCCCGTGGTTCGAAAGGGGTTAAGAGACCCCTGAAGAATCCACTTGCCTCGGGTCTGTTTCTAAAGCCCCCTATCATGTTGTTATAGAAACCACTGGAGGCTGAAAATCTCCCATCACGCTTATTGCTATAGTAACCACCCAAAGACAAGAAGCTAGTTCTTCATTTGCCATCGTCCCCGGGCCCCCCCCCCAAACACAACGATTTGATATGAAGCTGGCTGCTCTCTGGGGATTTCCTGGAAGCCAGGGCCTGGGATGCCCGTTGGCTTCCACTTGATAAATTCCTCCACCAGGAGCACGTTTTCCCTGCCCGGCCTGTGGCTGCCACCACCAGGGAGCGGCTCCACGGTCGCTGGCGAACGCCCGAGGGGTCAGCCCTTGTCAGTGTGGATGAGAGTCTTGTGATTAGCATTCGGTACCTTCTCACTAATGAGCCTTCTAATCAGGAGATCTGTCCGTGCCGATCATTGTCTCCCAACTGCTGGTTAGATACGTGGGAAATCACACCGTTGGGCTCTTGTTTTTGTTATCCTTGCATCATGCCCTTCGAATTTAGTTTTGGGCTCGCCGTTGATGACTCTTAGGGTTCAGAATGGGTCAACATTATGACCGTGACAATCTTGGTTCAATGCACATAAACATGTAGAATCCCAGGAAGGAATATTTTTTGGAGGCATTCCAGGCTTCTTGGCGAACATTTTGTCAGTAGAAAAAAATAGGTAATGGTGTTTGTATCTGACGTTGCTAGAAATTCATTTAATTGGGAAAAAGGTTTTGCACTAACGAGAATTTTGAGTGACTTGGAGGTCAATGTTTACACAGAAGTTGTTCAATCTAACCCGAGCAGCTAATTGCAAAGGATTTATTTGTGATTCCTCCTGATCAGTGACATGTTTCACTGGGCCTAAGACACCATCATTCGTAAGATGCATCATCATTTTATGTATCACTGAGAAAGAAAAAAAAAATGCTGCCCATTAAGCTATGACAAGTCACATCAGAGACGTTAAAACATGAAAAAAGTACTAATAGGAGTGCAAAAAACCTTCTCCGACAGCATCACCTTTCCTGATCAACATTTCATATGGAAAATAATGCAATAATTAATAACTAATAATGCAAGGGTAAACTGTTGCGTGTACTAACAACTGTAAATCTACTTCTACCCTGCCCTGTACTATAAACCATAAGATTGTATTTCTCTTCATTATGAATTATTTGGGTACATTTCTACAGCGTTAACCACCAAGAACATCATACCTAGTGTCCAATAAAGAATAAAAGAATATAACATGCTCGGCGTCTAAGTCAGGTGTTCCTAATTAAATCACGAGCACATTGCAGAATAAGCCCAGATTCCTGCTGGTGAAACTTCATTTATGGAAAGTTTCATGAACGCTGCTCAGCGTCTTACATTAGTGTCCTGGAAATAATCATCTCTTATTATTTATAAAGGACACCCGTTAAGACAGCTGTGGAAGTCTCTGTAACTGACAAACTGCACCCTCCAGTGGGGGAAAATGTTCCTTCATACAAGCTGACGCGAACAGGACGGGCAGGCGCTCAGCGATGTTATGAGTCTGATAGAATAAAAAATAAAAATGAAACCGCCCCGAGGCCGGCCGTGCGGCAGCGCCGGGCCGGGGCGCCCCCCTGCGCT